TTCTTCTTAATTACCATGATAAAAATAAAAAAGGAAACTACTAATGGAAGTGGAAGCAGAGATGTATGGTATATCTTCTAAATGTTGTATAGTTGTTATGCCCCACAAATTCCATTATCTCCAAAGAATATCCATGCACATATTGTAACTCCCATGCATGCCTTTGACAATTTAGCAGTAATCTGATGCAACTAAAATGGATTATTTCTTTGGCTTCTACCTCCCTTCAAACCTTATACTTTCCCCATAGGAGTCCTTTCTCTTTACAGTCTGAACAATTATTTGATCATTGGCATCATGACTGATTTATGGAGTAACTGGATGATTAAGTCTATTGGCAGAGCATCTCATTTACAAAAGAAGCAACAAACTATTTGTCTTTTGCTTTTTTATGAGGTTATATTTATATATTTTTTTCATACTTCACTACACTCATCCTAGGTATTGACCTGCAATGTGGAAATGCAGGAATGTTTCACGATGGCTTTAGGCAAACAAAAAGACTCATCAGTGCATGCTGCACTGAATCCATTTCTCAATTCTGGGAAACAATAAAAAAGCAGTTTGGAAGCATCTCCATTTCAGTGTTCTTGAAATATACACAGCCCAGCATAATTGTTTGCAAAGACTTTGTCCTAATTGGCAGTTTAGGGAAAGAGACACAGACAGTTCTCACTGCTTTCAGAATGAAGCTTCTTATTTCTGCTTCTCCAGAAATTGTTCATACGATTAATAGACAACTCTGTATTTCCAGCCCAAGGTGTATGACATGAAAATATGGATGTGATGATAGCAGATAAATCACAATGAAAAGTCTGTGAACTTTTTCTAAATCAGAGTTCTCACCAGTGCTACAGGAAAGGTAGCTTACTTGAGGAAAAAAAATATATATACAGCAAAATTAATGCTTTAAAAAACAGTTTGTACTTAGATTATCTATGTTTGTAACGCTAATTAATTAGTGCCTTACTTGTTCTAAAGTCTTATATGTCAGATACTCCCCTTGAGGTGGAAAATATTTACCAGTTTTCATATTCTGTTACTCCAGAATGCTCCTACTTTAATGTCATCAGCTTTCATTGGAGTTATTTTTTAAAAAACAATTCTTTTTACTCCCTATTTCATTTGGAATTTGAGTTTTGGAATGGATGCCAAAAAACAAATTGTAAGCAAAAAGCTTATGCAACTCTAGTGCTAGAAATAGGTGTTAACAAATGAAGCAGATCTGCTGTGCCAAGACAATGAGCAACTTTTTGCCTGCTTACAGAGCTGTGTCCCCAGAGATTGCCAGGGCATATCTCTGGAAGTGGAGAAATCAGATAGGTATTCCTGAGGCTCGGGATTCCCAACTCTGTGCAAGAATTCCTAGTGCACACAACTGAACCCCTCAAGCCCAGAGAGCACCTGCCTGAGGCAGTTGAAAAGCATGGACAGATTCAGGCTGCTTGCGCTCTCCCATCATAAAGAAAATAGGCATCTGCCACAAGAAAGCAGACAAATTATTACTACCTTTTGTCAGGACCACTTTTGTGGAATGACAAAGGATATGGACATCTGTTTACTTTCACTTTATGCCCCTGTAAATGTGTTTCCACTCTAGGTCTCTTTAAAGACTTGTGATTTCCAATGGACAATTCGCTGACCAAACGAATTCAAAGTGACCATCTTTATTACAGATGATATACTTGAGTACTTTTTGTTGCAGTTTACAATGCAATAGATAATTGATAACATGATTTTGGATTCCTTTTATCACTGATTAAATGCACATAAGGCCATTTAATCCTTATTCAAGCAAGAGATATGAGAAATATCCTTACAGAGACTAGTAACTTTTTACTAACTTGATTCTTCACTTACAGCAGACAAATTCACTACAACCGCAGAATAGCCTCACTGCTAACCTGAACTCTCAGTCTGACACTGACCTCTTAATCACAGTAGACACACAGGACACCCTCCACCCCCTGGGAGATGCATAGGAAATACAGAGCTACAGAGCTGAGAGATTTTGTGTGGGGGGG